GGAGTCGCTCCCAGTGAGGCTGTGAGGGGAAGGACAGAAAGGGAATCCTGTGTCCACAGTCAGGGAGCAGTCGGGGGACCTACTAAGTCAACGGTCTCACCGCTGTTTAGGAAGCCGACCGAACCGTGTGTCACCTCTGGGGGGTCTGTCCTCTCTTTAGGAAGCCGACCGAACCGTGTGTCACCTCTGCGGGGTCTGTCCTCTCTTTAGGAAGCCGACCGAACCGTGTGTCACCCCTGCGGGGTCTGTCTGCTCTTTAGGAAGGTGACTGAACCGTGTGTCATTTCTGGGGGTCTCACTGCTCTTTAGGAAGCTGACTGAACCGTGTGTCACCTCTGGGGGTCTCACTGCTCTTTAGGAAGCTGGTTCTGCACCAAATGTGCTTACCATTTAAGTTTCTAAATTAAGATGCACTGACAAAACGTCAGAAACATGTAAGTGGCTCTGTGTCCAGCCAGGGGGGTTGCCGGAGACGGAGCGGGGAAGGGGTCCTGCATCCCAGCCAGCATGCTGGGGGTCAGCACAAGGCCCATCGGCCAACCTAAGGATACCAGCCCAGTCCCCCACGGCCTGCTGCCTCTCCAGGCACCAGAGATCCCCATGCTGCCAAGCCCGCTCTCCTCACAGGTCCCTCCCCAGCCTGTGTTCTCTGATGTTGAGCCCTGGCCTCTTCCCTTTTCCATCCGCCCTGTTCCCCAGCCCGTTACCAGGAAACCCCAGTGGCGCAGCCCCCACACTGATCCTAGCCTGGCCTCCCGACCAGATGGTCAGCATCCCTGCCCCTGCCGATCGGTCTGTCTTTGGCCACCCTCCTCTGCACAGGAGCCACCCCCACCCCTGACCAGGTGCGGCCCAGCACGGCACACTCACTTCTCCAGGTAAATGGCGGACAGGCTGCGGACCCACTCCAGCTTGCCCAGGGTCAGCTCCAGCTCCGAGCGCAGGGTGGGGGCGGCCGGGGAGGGCTCGGGCAGGGCCAGGACCTTCTCAGCTTCGGCAGAGAGTCGGGCGACGCCCTTGCCCAGCCCTTCCACCTCAGCTTGTGCTTTCTGAGAGATGAAGAGGGACCTGTGACCACCAGAGCCCAGCCCACAGAACCCTCAGGAGAGATGGCACAGAGCGGGACCAATGGGGGCTGGGAACAGACGGAGGAGGGGAAGAGAGGAGATAAGAAGAGCTCTGGTGGCTCAGTGCCTAAAGCATCTGACTGCTAACCAGAAGGCTGGCGGCTCACACCCACCTGCCACTCCACGGAAGGAAGACCAGGCAAACCACATGCATAAAAATTTACCAGTTCGGAAACCCCACGGGGGGGGGGTCACTGTGTCTCGGAACTGATTCAGTGGCAGGGAATTTGATTTTGGTTTTTGATAAAAAAGCAGCAGCACAGAGACGAGTGGGAATGGAAGGAACAGAAGATGGGGAGACGTGGCGGTGAGGAGCCTTAAGGAGGAAGACCAGGGATGGGGGAGGCAGGGAGGCGGGAGTGAGGGTCGGGGCCAGGCGCCTGCCTGCTGCTCAGCCATGCGCTGGGCGCACTCGCGGGCTGGCTCCTTGTCCAGCGGCAGCCGCAGCCGGTGCACAGTGCGGGTCTCACAGGCCTCCAGCTGCAGGCGGATGTCCTTGAGCTCCGAGATGCAGCGCTGGCAGCGGGACTCCTCCTGCTCCCCTGGGGGACGCATCACAGCACAGTGTCCGGAACACGGCCTCCCGCACAGGCCCGCCGCGCACGCCCGCCGCCCAGGCCCACCACATACCCTGCTCCAGGCTCTGCAGCAGCTGCTGGTAGTGACGGCTGCAGGAACCATACTCCCGCTCCGCCTGCAGCCGATCCTCGGGCCCGAAGCCGCCGGCATCCTGGCTCTCCCGCAGGAAGGCTTGGTAGTGCAGCTCCAGGCTACGCAGCGCTTGGCGCTGTTCCTCTGGCTTCAGCGTGCGGAACTGTGGGCAACACGGAGCACTGAGCACGCAGGAACAGACTCACGGCCCCAGGGGTCCCACGGGGACAGGCTGAGCCTCCCCACCCCCACCTCGTACTGTGACCAGCACAAGCCAGCCTCAGGGCCCCAGGATGGGGACAGGCCATGCCCTCCACCCGTACCGTGATCAGTGACCAGGAGCGGATAAGCTGCACGTCACGACTCAGGCTCTGCCAGGCCAGGAGGCTCCTCAGGTCCACGTCCAGCTGGTGCCACCTCGCAACCAGGGCCTGGTGCTGGGCCTCCAGCCTGGTGGTCATGGTCAGGGGCACCGTCAGCAGGGCTGAGGCACTGCCCATCACCCACCCTCTCTGGTGGTCAGACCCCCAGGCACACACTCACCTGCTGACGGCCTCCTGGGCCTCCTGGTTGGGTGGGGGCACGAGGAAGCAAACGGATGGGACGGCGGCCTCGCTGCCAGCACCACTGAGAACCCTCCAGTGGGACGGCTGTGCGGGTCCCAGCAGCTGGCACTCGTCCCCCTTGTGCACAGTCACCTGGGGGCCGGCACCAGGTTAACTGTGAGGCCACGGTGCAGCCCCTGCTCCCAGCCCGCTGTCCCTGCAGCCCCGCTGCCTCACCTCCACCTGCTTGTAGTCGCACACGGCCAGCAGCGGCAGGCGGCCCCGTGTCGGGTGGGTGGGGTTTCGGGGCTTCAGTTGCACAATGGCCTTGGCCCGCTTGGCCAGGCCCGAGAGGTGGCCCTTGTATTCACTGAGCTGCTCCTTCTCGTCCTAGGGCGTAGACAGGAAGGACCAGTCCAAGGTCAAGACACTGGAGCCTGGCTGAGGCCTTGTCTGCCCCAAGTAATAAGCCCTGAGAGTGGGTGACAGGCCTGCAGGCCCTCTCGGGGCTCCTAGGGCCAGGGCTCAGAGGCCAGCAGGGGACAAGGTGCATCCCACACTGGCCTGAGCCAGCACCCACAGACCCTGCTATGTCCCACCCTCCTCCCTAAACCTGGAGACCTTCCAGCCTGCAGGTTCGGGTGCCAAGGGCAAGCAGGTGGTCAGCTCACCTGGATGTCCTGCAGCAGATCCTCCAAGCGTGTGACAGTGACTGAACGGTCACAGGTATATTTCCTGTGCAGAGTCTCCTGCAGCTTCTGCAGCTGCTCTTCGGCCTCCCGGGCGTCTGCAAAGAACTGGGGCAACAGAGAAGGCTTACACTGGGCACTTGGCACCCTGAGGTCCCCACCAGGGCAGCCCCTAGCTTAGGTTACCAGAGGCAGGCCTGAGGAGGCCTCCCAACAGGACCAGAGAGGGCGCTGGAGGAAGCACAGCAGGGGGCTGGTGAGGTGGGGGGCCCATGGTGGGCAGAGGGCTGGGTGAGGGGCTCTGTGGGGGATGGGAGGCCCGCTTCTCACCTGGAAGTAGGCGGTGTTCTCCTTTAGGTGCGCCTCGATACAGCAACACAGCTGCAGCATCCAGCTCCACTGGGTCTGCAGACCGGCCTGGAAGGACTGGAGGCCCCTGGCCATCAGGCTCAGCCTTCTCCACCACCCACCCCACCGTATGATCCCTGCTGTGGGCCACCACCAGGGGGCCCCGCCGCAGCCCCGCAGCCCCGCCCACCTCCACCGTGGCCCGCGCAGGGTGTTCGTCTCGCAGCAGCCGGTCCCCCGTGTTCTGGATTTCCTTAATTTTCTTTTCTCTCAGCTCCAGCTCCCGCATCAAAGCCTAGAGAAGAGACAGGGTCTCAGAAACACGCGGACTCACTGGGGGCGGTCAGCCACAGTGGCCCAATGTTCCCTCCCAATGGCTGAGGGACAACCGGCATGGTCACCAGGAACCCCCTCACCGAGTAGCTCTCTTTCTTGGCAGCCATGTTGGCGTTGCGCTCACTCCAGTCAAAAGCCACCTCCTCCTCCTCCTTCTCACTCAGCCACATCAGCTCCTTGGTGGCGGCCGCCACGAAACCATGCAGGCTCTCAAGGGCCCGGAGCCGCGCCTTGGAGGAGGTCTGCAGGGGGTGAGCAGGAGCATCAGCAGGTCTCTAGACTCCTGAGTCCTGCCCCTTGCCCATCCCCTACCCCAGCGCCCTGCCCCGGCCCTCTGATGCTGCCAGCCACTTACCAGCAGCTTGGCGTACTGCAGGTCCAGCCGGCCCAGGCAGTCACAGTAGGAGCCTCGCATGGCTGGGGAGAGCTGGCCCTGCAGAAGACTAGGTGTGAGCCCCACGGCAGCATGGCCTGCCCCGTCCTGCCCACCCGGGGTGCCTGCTCACCTCGTCAGTTCGTGCACGCTCTATCTTCGCCCGGAACTCCTCGATGGACTGGTGCAGGCCACGGTGGCTACCCAGCTGTGCCTCCACACTGGGCAAGTCCACGCCCCACTCGGCGCCATCCACCCGCCGCTGATTCTCCTCCACCCAGGCCAGGAGGTCCTGCAGGTACCGCAGCGTTGGGCTCTCAAGCTCCGGCTCCCGGGCTCTTGGCATGCTCTGGGTCATGGGGGCGCCCGCCTTCAGACGGAGGTTGTACTCAGTACGGATGGCGACCAGGCGCTCATGCAGGCGGTACACCCTGGGGGCAGCACAGACGTGGCAAGGTCAGCAGGGGGCTGGTGGCCCTAGCCGGCCCGGGGTGGGGTGGGGGTCCCACCTGCGGTACATCTGCTCGCCCTGTGGGTGTCTCCCATCCTTGAGGGTCTGCACATCATTAAACAGCAGCCGAATCATGCCATCTGCCTTGTCCAGGTCTCGCTCTACTTCACCTGCCCGCTGGGGCGCCTTGCCAGCGACCAGCAGCCGGATGTCCTGTGAGGCAGTGGCAACACTCAAAGGCGGCACCCAATCTCCCTCCCCGCCAAGCCCCTGTAGCTTGTGAAGGCACGCTCCAGATGATGGGGTGACCCACAGACCGCTACTGGGTCAGGACCGAACTCTTCATGGTGTAGTAGCAGTCGCTTGTGCCCAGCCCCGCACAACTGCTCTCGTTCCAGGTGCTCAACTAACCCCTACCCAGGCCCACCCAGTCCAATCCTGCCGGCCCACAGCATTCAACCAGTCAAGCTGAGTGCTCCCATGGCCTGTGTGCCAGGGGACAGGGCCTGAGAGAGGAAAGGTGTCTGTCTCAGCTTCTCCCACCTCCCTTCTGCTGGTCACCTCACCTAGTCACCAAGTAGCATATAAGCTTGGCCACAACCCAGGGGGCGGAGCTGGGTCTGAGCCCCACCCCCAGCGCAGCCCCTCCCAGAGCCCGGCAGGCCCCGCCCCCAGCGCAGCCCCTCCCAGAGCCCAGCAGGCCCCGCCCCCCAGTGCAGCCCCTCCCAGAGCCCAGCAGGCCCCGCCCCCAGTGCAGCCTCTCCCAGAGCCCCGCTGGCTTGCCCTTGGTGACTCAGAGGCTGCAGGGTGTGGCAGGTTCCTGAAGCACCCCCTCCTTCAGGCTGCCAGCCCTTTCCCTCCCCATCCAGTCTTCTAGGCCCTGCTTCCCCTGAACTCACTGCCTGCAGCAGGGCGTCGGCCTGGTTCAGCTGCTCCTCACACAAGCCCGATTCCATCTGCAGTTTGCTGACTATGCGCTGCAGACACTCCAGCCTGTGGGTCGAGCACGCGTGAGAGGGACGGCATCCACCCTTCGAGCGCAGAGCAAACGGGCTCCCTGCTGCCCGCCAGCAGCGCTCCAGGCCCCACTGCAGCCACCCTGGGCAGGCTTCCCAGCCGGAGGGGGTTTCCTCCTCCTGACTCACCCCAGCAGTGGTTCCCCGGCCTCGGCCCCACCCACCCGGCCCGCCCACCTCTCAAACTCTGCCCGCAGCTGCTTCTCCCGCTCCAGGATGGCCACGTGCAGTCTGCCCCACTCCTTCTCCACGTCCAGCGGGTGGTAGCCGGGCGGCACCTTGAGCTGTCCCGATTGCACCGCGCCCTGTGGGCAAAGGCCGAGCTCAGGCTGGGCCCCCAAACCCCCTTGGCCCAGTGCCGTCCTCGCCCAGCTCCCCCACTCACCTCCAAGGACTGGTAAATGCCTTTGGATCGGTTCTTGTCAGCCTCCTTGGCCGGAAGCTCTGTCTCCTTAAACTTGAGGAACTGGCACCATAGGATCTGTGGGGACAAGGGGGTCAGCAGCTGCGCCAGCCCCCAACCAGGCCCTGGACCTCCTTGGAGCGGGCAGCACCTCGATCTCCTCGTAGCTGGCCGGGAACTTGCGCTCCTCGAAGGCGACTGTGTGGTGCCGGATCCATTGTAGCAGCAGGAGCACCAGCTCCCGGTACTCCTGCCACCGCAGCTGCAGTTCCTGTGGGCGGGCAGGGGTCAGATGAGGCCAGCCCAGTCCATGGGCCCCATCGCCCCTGCCCGCCGGCCCCCACTCACGTTGGCCCTCACTCCATCCTGTCCATCTGGCACGCGAGGCATGGCGTCGTACAGAGATGAGACGTACGTGATGATGGACTTCTCGTCGGGATGGGGGACGTCGACGTCTGTGGAGGAAGGGGCAGGGTCAGAGGGCTCCCTGGACAGGGCAGGGTGTGCTGGAGAGGTCGAGACTAGGACCACAAGGCACCCTGTCGGGGCTGGGGTCAGGATCAAGGGCGTCCTGGATGAGCTGGGGCCAGGATCGGAGAACGCCCTGCTTCGCTGTGGCGGACACACACCCTCGGGGTCCAGCAGCCTCGTCACTCCCAGGTCACGCTCTGCCACAGAAAAGGCCTGGTCCAGGTTCTCCAGGTTGGTCTGACGGTACACCTTGTTCATGTCAATAAGCGTGGGTCTGGAGACAGAACAACGGGCAGGGCAGATGCAGGCGGTCCGGTCACACAGCTGGAGCGGGATGTGCACTGCACAGCACAGCCCCTACAGCGCCTTCCCACACACACGCCCGGACGCTGTGCAGCCTGGACCCCGGGAGCCGTGGGGATCACCCATGACTGCCCTCCTCCGGGTTCCAAGTCCCGAGTGAAAGTCAAGATTTCTGAGAATTCCAGGAGGCTGCCCCCACCACGTCCAGGAAGGGTGCAGAAGGCAGAGAGGGTGAGATTGTGCAGCACAGCCTGGCACCTGCTGCCTCTGGCTGACACTGACTCTCGTTACCACGGGTTTTGGATCCTGACACTGCTGATACCCCCTCCTATCCACGTGTTCAGAGTTGCCCAGCTACGAGCCCCCCTGTGTGCCCCCCAGGCCTCCCTGTGCACACACCTGCCCGGCCACATGCCCCGCAGCCCCGGCTGGCCTCCCCATGCACACACCTGCCTGGCTGTGTGCCCCCCGGGCCTCCCTGTGCACACACCTGCCTGCCTGGTTGTGCCCCCTGGGCCTCCCCATGAGCACGCCTGCCCAGCCACGTGCCCCCGCGGCCCCGGCCGGCCTCCCCATCCTCACATCTGTCCATCCGCGTGCCCCCACAGCCCCGGTCAGCCTCCCCATTCGCACACCTACCCAGCTATGTGCCCCCTCAGCTGCCCCATGAGCACGCCTGCCTGGCCACATGCCCCACGGCCCTGGCCAGCCTCCCCGTGCTCAAGTCTGTCTGGCCGCGTGCCCCCGCAGCCCTGGCCAGCCTCCTCATACTTGTGCCGGTGGATGATGGCATTGAAGAGGCGGCCGTCGCGCCAGCTAGAGGTAAAGTTCTCACAGCGCAGGCCCTGGTAGCCCTCCACCATGCGCTGGGACCACAGCAGCAGCTTCTCCTTGGCCGTCATGTCCTCTGATTGTCCACTCACTTGGATGTCTGAGATCTACAGGTGACCGTGGGCGGGGCTCAGCCACTGGGCCCAGGAGCAGGCACAGCCCCCATCTACAACCTGCTACCTCAGTGCCACAAACCCAGGCTGCTGTAGCCAGCGGCTGCCAAACAGTTTAAGTCAGGGCTCCATCCCCACTGCTGCTACTTGGGGGGAATGCCCTGGGTGCCCCTCAATCAGAGGGGTCCTGGCCCCACCTGTACCCTCTGAAGCCAGCACGGGGCAGGTGGAAGGAAGTGGGCACCAGGAAGGGGCTGCAGACAGAAGAGCCCCCAGACCCTGGAAGAGGTGTGGGGTGGCTCCAGCCCCCTTCTCTGCCTCCAGGCTGGAGGCTGGGTGGAGCCTGTGAGCCTGGCAGCCAGGCCTGGGCTCCATCCTTCAGGCCCGGGTCTGCCTGCCTGCCTGGTCCTGTCTGCCGGCTGGCCCGCCCGTCTGTGTGACTCAGCTGCCAGCCAGGCCCAGCCCGCACAGCCTTCAACTCGGTGGCTTCCTGTGCTTTGGGGCAGGACCCTGGGTGAGTCAGCCCGCCCAGGCGATGCTCCCAGAACCCTTGCCAGGCCAGGCCGCTGCCCTTGGGCTCAGAATACATTCCTCCTTGGGGAGGCTGCCTGCCCTGCCCAGCTGGGGCCAGAGGGCGCGGGAGAGGGGCCCAGCCAGAAGCCTGGGCCGCAGGCCACAGCAGCACGTGGCAGGGGCAGGGGCTGTGCCTTGCCAGGCTGCCAAGGTACCCCCCAAGTCCGCGGGCCACACGTCAGGCCTGGCAGCCTGGGCAGGCAGCACCGAGGAGCTGGAAGTGGGGGCTACTTGCCTGGAAATGCAAGATGATGGTCCATATGAGGCCCAGGGTCAGCTTGGGGTTGCCGTCGGCAATGTCATCATTCCTGATGTTCACCAGCTTTACCTGTGAGCAGCAAGGCGCCTGAGTCCCCCCAGACGTGGCATACCCTGGAGGGCTCATCTAGGGATGGGCCGTGTCTGGCAGTCGGGGGGGCCTCACCAGCAATGGGGGCCTCACGTGGTGGTGTGGGCGGCCTCATTGAAAGTAGGGGCTCACTGGTGGTGAGCAAGGCCTCCCCTGACAGGATGGGGCTCTCAGTGTCAGTGTGGAGGCCTCACCTGGTGGTGGGGAGGCACTGACTGACAATGGGGTGCTCACGGGCAGTGTGGAGGCCTCACCTGGTGGTGTGCAGGGCCTCACCAGATGGTGTGGGGGCTCTCACTGGTCGTATGGGGGCCTCACCTAGTGATGGGGACCTCAATGGCAGTGGGGGTCCTCACTGGCAGTGTGGGAGCCTCCCTGACAGTGTGAGGGCTCACTGACTGACTGCGGTGGGGGGCTCACCTGGCAGTGGGGAGGCCTTCCTGGCCATGTAGAGGCCTCAATGGTGGTGGGGGAGCCTCACCTGGCGGCGTGCAAGGCCTCACCTGATGGTGGGGGGCTCCCTGACGGTGGGGGGCCTAACTGGTGGCGTGGGGCGCTCGCCGGCACTGGGGAGCCTCACCTGGCGGTGGGGGGCCTCACCTGGCGGTGTCGCAGGTAGTCCAGAGCAATCTGCACGTTCTGCAGCTTGTGGAAGCGCATCCTGCCCTTCTCCCGGGGCTGCGAGAGAGCCATGGCCAGTGTCCATCAATCAGAAGGCCACTGGACCCAGCGCTGCACCCGGGCCCCTCACACTGCAGCTGCAACTACCCTGGGGTCCCCCCAACAGAGCAGGAGCCCCACACCCCAGTTCACCCTCCCCAGCTGGGAACGGGGCACTGCTGGGGCCAAGCCCAGCAGGGGCCAGGGCAGGCCAGGCGCCTGGGCTCCAGGGAGGAAGGAAGGGGATGGGGAGGAGACAAAGTCAGGAAGCCGAGGGTGGAGGGCAGTGGTACTGGGGTCTTCCCGCCTGGCGGTGGCAGCCGAGGACCACTCCCAGCGGGCCCGGCCCAGCTCAGGCGGGACAGCAGGCAGGTCAATGGGTGGCTCAGATGTACGGCCATCTACAACCCCACGTCAGGCCAGGCCAGTGTCGTGCTGGGTGAGCACGGCTCTGGCCATCTGGGGAGCCACGTGCTGCGTGGCCAGTGGGCCCAACCACTCACCAGGCGCACACTCCTGATAACGTCCCGCTCTCTCGGCTGCCCGGCCAGAGCAGGGCAAAGGGTAAAGGGCAGAGGTCAAGGTTCAGAGTCCAAGCAGCAGAGAAACCAAAGCAGAGCAGAGTACCAGGTTACCCGAGGCAGACGGGTCCCGGCCGCAGCGGCCGCAGCCTGGGGTTGTGGCCGCTCCCAGGCGGGCACTCGCTGCAGCTCCCGACACCCCGAACAGAGATGCATGGCAGGAGTGAGGCCAGGTGGCCTCAAGAGAAGACAGGAGGGACAGGTGGGAGGCAGCAGGGCGGGCGGGCAGGCAAGGAATCCAGGTGAGGCTGGCGGGCCGAGCGGGGTAGGTGGCAGCACGTACCAGGCTGTCCCCAGAGAGGACCTCCAGCAGGGAGATGAGGCTGTGACCATCCCGGAGGTCTTCATACAGGTCGCTGATGTGCCTCTGGGCCTACGGGGACAGTGGGGGGCGGCTGATGGGCACCGATTTCCCAGAGCCACCACGGGCCCCAGTGGGAAAGAAGTGCCTGCAAAGCACACCCTCCCTAGCCCAAGACACCTACCTCTGCCCTCCAGTGCTACAAGGAGCCGCCAGGAGGGACCCAGCAGGAGGAGGAGGAAGAGAGAGACAAGAGAGAGCATGGGAAGGGAAAGG